GTATGTTATAAAACTCAGAAACAATAACGCCGGCACCAGGGTAACTCCTGTGGCATAAGGATTTGAAAAGGAAAGAAGTCTGAACATAGCATGTCGTACACGAGTGGAGGGCTTCTGTGTATTGGGAATTCCTATTTTAGTTTATTATCTGAAACATATGTCTATGGAGATGTAATCTTGAAATAGATAATGGAAATAGGAATAAAATCACACATAATGACATTTTATTTTTGCCATTAATCATAAAATTTCGAGCATGCGGACATTTTGTTCGCAGAGCTGTGAACTGTGGTATACAAGCGTTAGGTCCCAACCTTTTAACCTTTTTTGGTGTGCTCAGTAGACGAAAATTGTACACATCAGCAACACTGGTATACCAGCTGCATTAGACGCAGAGCAACTTGTCGATATATTTGAAAGTATAAAGAGTGAAAGATTGCATTTAAAGCGCCGGGAATTACGGTATATATATACTTCTACAAACACATAATATATATATACATGTGTGTGTGTGTTTATACATTTGTATATATATCTAAAACTATCCCTAATGTGCAAGGAATGGCCAGGGTTCCCATCTACTGGCGATGCGTGATTTGAACGCTGGTCAGCAAGATTGCCAGACAAGAACGCTGCCACTGCACCACACCACACACACATATGTATGCATATGTGTGTGTGCGTGTGTGAATTACCACTGGTAATGATTATAATCTCTATTTAATTCACGAACAAAGGGAGCTGGGAGTAAGGATGAGGAAGCAGTGAGGAAGCCCCTCGACCATAGAGCGAACCCTGAGAGACCAGGCGACTTGGAAGGAGAAAAAGGTAGTCTTAAATATCTCTCCTTATTATTTTCGCTGTATATTGTTTCCTGAAATCTTATTCTGAATTTACGCTTACGTATACCACACAAGGAGCTGTACAGATAAATAATAAGAGCCGGAAGAGTAAACATCTTTGTTCACCTGCAGGGAGCCCAGACTTGCACACCGCTGCTTCTGTGGGTCACGTGAATGTCATGCGGGACCTCCTGAAGGCGGGAGCTCCAAAGGACACGATTAACGAAATGGGTAAGTTGCCTAACATATTTCACGAAGACATCAAAGCTAGGATACAGTTCAAGGGTTTATGATCCTGGATAAAACGAGTGAAAGATCTACAGTCCCAATGCATGTTAGTAATCCAGTCAGTAGGGGAAAAAATTCAGCTGTAGGTTTCCGATTTTCTTTTAGCAGAGTTCCGGATGACGGCTTAGCCATCACTCACTTATATGTAGCTGTTAAAGAACCATTATTTGCTCCAAAACAATAGCTAGTTTGTATTTACAATTGCGCATGTGTGTGTCCAGGCTCCAGCAATTATATATTATATACAAACAGTCTCTCTTTTTGGTAACTAGCCATTTCTTTTGGACAATGTGAAATATAGTTTCGGGAGAGAGAGCTTTTCCTCAGGGTACCGCTATACTTACCAAAGATATTGATAAGGATAAACCGAAATTGGAGTTTATGATCGTTACCCTTCAGTCTCCTCCCCGCTCACTAAGTAAGGATAAGTCCGATATGCGAAGCTGAGCCTCGCCCGGGCTATGAGGGAAGCTCGGCCTGCGTCGACTAATGCCGACTCGCTGACGTGTGTCAGTTCTTGCTGACTCGGCTTAATCCTTGCCCGCCGTGGTGCCCAGCCACAGCAGTAACCTCCAGGCGACAATTGCAACTTCTCGCGCCTGGGCGGGGCGCGAACCGCCGACTCCTCCCTCGGATGAAAGGCCGACACGTTACCACTGTACTAGCCCGGAGGCTCCGCTCACTAAATATGCATTATATACTTATACTTATAAAGTAAGCTACACATGTGGCTTGTTTAATCTTCCCTAAGATGTCTATTTTCAACTCCCTCCTGATAAGAGCACTGATGGGCATTACCTTCCTTGTCAGGTCTTCAGGCCGTGCACTGTGCGGCGAAGGGCGGCCACATCGAGGCGCTGAAGCTCCTGAAGGAGAGTGAATGCGATTTAACGACCAGGACACCCCAAGGCGCCACGACCCTCCACTGCGCGGCCGAGGGCGGGCACGTGGCGGCGGTGCAGTGGCTCCTCGAACACAGCGGCCTCAGTCTCGATTCCCTCAACAGCGACGGAGACACTGCCCTCGATGTGGCTCGAAAAAACGGCCATCATAACACCACCGGCCATTTGCAGGAGGTGAGTCGCTACACAAGCGTGGGTGTAGTTGCCGTGAGAAATAAAAAAATGAAGACATTGTATATAGAACACACGCGCATATCTGAGTTGATTAATATATACACATAAATACATGCATGCACATACACATAAACATATATATTTTATATGTATATGTGTGTGTGCGTGTCCGTGTGCGTGTGGGTGTACACGCACACACACACACACAGATATATGTATGTATATATATATATATATATATATATATATATATATATATATATATATATATATATATATATATATATATATATATATATATATATATTTATATATAATTATATGTGTGTATATATAGATGTGTGTATATATGTATATATACATATATATATATATATATATATATATATATATATATATGTATGTATGTATGTATGTATACATATCATATATATATGTGTGTGTGTGGGTACATACATACACATGTTTGCATTTATACCATATAACTATATTCATGTATTACCTAAATCACATATAATAACTAACGTTTATTGATTCATCCTGATCCTTTTTAGGCCAAACACCAAAGAGACCTAAAGAAACTGCAGGATGAGAAAGAACATGAGATTACAAGACTGGCAGCAGAACTGAAGATGAACGAACTGGAAAAGGTATTACAACACACGCATTATAAATATGCATGCACTTTGTCCCGAGTGGAGGTCCTTCCCTTTAATCTTGGACCACTGGATTGGTGCAGGATTCGAATACGCTCGAGTGCGTATGTACACACACACACACAAATATATCTATATATATATACAAATATATCTATTTATATATACAAATATATCTATTTATACATATGAATATATCTATTTATATATACAAATATATCTATTTATATATACAAATATATCTATTTATATATATAAATATACATATATATATGTAATCATATTTACATATATATATATATATATATATATATATATATATATATATATATATATATATATATATATATATATTTACTTATCTATTCATCTATGTATATATATATATATATATATATATATATATATATATATATATATATATATATTTGTGTGTGTCTAATTATATATGTGTGTGCATTATATATATATATATATATATATATATATATATATATATATATATATATATATATATATATATATATATATATATATATATTTATATATATGCGTGTGCGTGTGTAAAAGGCATTAGAGAGGACCTTTAAACATTGGCTTTCAGGGGTAGTCATAGTTCTTTAACGGCCTGATTCTTTATTACGGAGGAGTACAACACAGTGATGGAACACACGAGACGAGTCTTAGGGTAAGCGCTGAGCGTGGGGTCATGTGGTCCTGCCCTCCAGCCCTGAGAGGCCAGAGGCTAGACCTGGTCACGCTGGGTGCTGAGGCATGACTGAGAGGTCAAACAAGGTCAGGTTAACTCGTCATCTAAGTTCTTACTGAGTCGATGGTTCTTCACTGGACTTTGAGCCACGTGGTCTATGTCTAATGGCCTACAGCAGTCCATGTGTATATATATATGTATATGTATGTATATATGTTTATATATATATATATATATATATATATATATATATATATATATATGTATCATATTTATATACATATACATGTTTGAGCATATATACAATATAACTATACTCATGTACTACCTAAATCACATATAATAACTAACGCTTATTGATTCATCCTTATCCTTTTTAGGCCAAACACCAAAGAGACCTAAAGAAGCTGCAGGATGAGAAAGAACATGAGATTACAAGACTGGCTGCAGAACTGAAGATAAACGAACTGGAAAAGGTATTACAACAATATGCATGCACGTTGCCCCGAGTGGAGGTCCGTCCCTTTAACCCAATGGTGCCGGGGAAAATGAACAAAAAATGGAGAAAATGCTGTGCCCACTTTCTATGTTTTTCGGCAAATGTCTGCCGATAGATGGCTCTGCTAGCGCCTGATTTGAAATTGCGGGAAAAACGTATTTTTCACTAGTGCTATGAAAATCGATGGTGTTATTTTTATCAAAAACATTATTAATTTTTATAAGGTTTTTTAACATTAGTAACAGCAAAATAAGATAACATAAAATATTTCGTAAATCAAAGAAATGGGTAAGCGGGCGAGACGGGCGGTACTCGTAACTGGCACATTGGTGATTTAGTACAAGTGTTGCCATCTATGCGTAACAGCAATCAAACAAGTAATCACGGTGGGCATAGCACGTACGTACACGTCATACCCGGCACCAAGGGGTAAAACTTGGACCACTGGATTGGTACAGGATTGGAATGCGCGCGAGTGCATATGTACACACACACACACACAAATATATCTATATATATATATACAAATATATCTATATATACAAATATATATAAATATATATAAATTTATATATTCATGTATATATACATATATATATATACATATATATGTAATCATATTTACATATATATATATTTACGTATCTATTCATCTATCTATGTATATATATATATTTGTGTGTGTCTAAATATATATGTGTGTGTGTGTGCATATATATATATATATATATATATATATATATATATATATATATATATATATTATATATATTTATATATGCGTGTGTGTGTGTAAAAGGCATTAGAGAGGACTTTTAAACATTGGCTTGCAGGGGTAGTCATAGTTCTATAACGGCCTGATTCTTTATTACGGAGGAGTACAACACAGTGATGGAACACACGAGACGAGCCTTAGGGTAAGCGCTGAGCGTGGGGTCATGTGGTCGTGCCCTCCAGCCCTGAGAGGCCAGAGGCTAGACCTGGTCACGCTGGGTGCGGAGGCATGACTGAGAGGTCAAACAAGGTCAGGTTAACTCGTCATCTAAGTTCTTACAGAGTCGAGGGTTTTTCGCTGGACTTTGAGCCAGGTGGTCTATGTGTAATGACCTACAGCAGTCCATGTGTATATATATGTATATATATGTATATTTGTATATATATATCATATTTATATACATATACATGTTTGAGCATATATACAATATAAGTATACTCATGTACTACCTAAATCACATATCATAACTAACGCTTATTGATTCATCCTGATCCTTTTTAGGCCAAACACCAAAGAGACTTGAAGAAGCTGCAGGAAGAGATGAAAGAGAAAGAACACGAGATAACAAGACTGGCTGCAGAACTGAAGATGAAAGAAGAACTGGAAAAGGTATTATAACACACACATTTATAAATATACATACACACACACATATACATATGTCTGTGTGTGGGGAATTCATGTCGAACAACTTGAAAATAGAACAGCGAAGAGAAGTACTCTTCATGGTATACGAGACCAGAGATACACAGAAGTATATATACATGTCCTAAGCGTTCAGATCACGTCTGTAATTAGACGAGCGACGACCTTGGCTAATTCGTGGCTCCCCGTTGCTGTGTTGAAGTTGTTGGTTGAATGGACGAACGCTGCTTCTACCATCTTCCTTTATCGTGGGCGCAGACCTTGCTTTACGATGGAGGTCTGGGTCCTCTCAGGGAGGTGTTGACGTGAGCAACGAAGGCTCATCACGTCGAAGGCTCATCACGTCGGTGTTGGTCGATTCGTTGTTCGTGGAGACCTGTTCCTGTGTCACCTATGTATACTTTATCACAGCCACCGCGAGGTGTGCTGTACACCTGGCTAAAGGTCTGCTGTGGTCTGACCTCTTTTCCCTTAAAATATCTCTTATCTTCACACACACACATATATATATATTCATATATATATATATATATATATATATATATATATATATATATATATATATATATGTATATATATTTATATTCATATATACCTATATAAATATATATACATATATATATATATGTATATATATAAATATATATATATATTATATATATAGATAGATATATATGCATATAAACATACACACAGACACACACACATGTAGGTACCGACATCTCCAAATGCTCCTGTTGATCGAGTCTTTGGCTCTTGATGCCAGACCATTCTGTCTACGGACTTCTTGGTCTGACAGCCCAGAGGCATAGACTACACTACCAAGGTATGTAAAGCTCTCTATGACTTTAACGTCCTCACCGCAAGCATGTATCGACTAAACAGGTTCCCCTAACAGGTCCCCAAAGTCCTGAATCATGGTCTTAGTCCAGGAGACCTCTAGCTCCAAGAGCTTCGCCTCATTGTTAAATAATATCATAGTGATTCCAGAGACACAGATAGGATAGCAACATCGTCGGCAAAGTCAACATCTGTGACCTTAATATTGCCCAGTGTTACTCCACACTGATCATGCCACTGCCAGGTCTTCTCACCTTCAAGAGGGTAGCCACCTCAACTCCCAACCACTTCAGTTCCTTGATATCAGGGTTAACTGCTCATCCTGCCGCAAGGAACAGATGTTCCAAGCACCTACCCGGATAGCTCGCCTGAGGTTAAGCCCGCTCTGTCACCCCCGCCGACGCTGGTTGGAAGGCTGTGGGGCCCAACATCCACCTGTGGGGTTCCCTAGGGCTTTGCCCCACAGGCTTCATACTGGGTTAGCGCCTGTCAGGGAGCCCCCACCCTCTCAACAGGACCCACAGCCCGCTTCACTTGCTGGGTGGGAGGGACAGAACCCCTCCCCCAACATATCCATTTATACAAGACATTACTAGTGAGTTTCCTGGGGGGAGGAGAACTGACAAGGCCCACCTCCCCCGAGTCGCCCATTAACCTCCTGCTGCTCTGAGATCCCACTGAGTAATGATAGCGAGGTGGTATGGTTGGTTTAGTACTGGACCTCCAGTTCATACCCGGAGTGACCAAGGTTCAAGTCCTGGTTAGGGAGGGTTCTTATATATCTATATCAATGCGGCATTGCATTATCCCATCTTTCATTTATATTTACAAACCTCAGTACATCTGACTTATATATATATGCACACACACACACACACACACACACACACACACACACACACCACACACACATATGTATGCATATGTGTGTGTGCGTGTGTGAATTACCACTGGTAATGATTATAATCTCTATTTAATTCACGAACAAAGGGAGCTGGGAGTAAGGATGAGGAAGCAGTGAGGAAGCCCCTCGACCATAGAGCGAACCCTGAGAGACCAGGCGACTTGGAAGGAGAAAAAGGTAGTCTTAAATATCTCTCCTTATTATTTTCGCTGTATATTGTTTCCTGAAATCTTATTCTGAATTTACGCTGACGTATAGCACACAAAGAGGTGTACAGATAAATAATAAGAGCCGGAAGAGTAAACATCTTTGTTCACCTGCAGGGAGCCCAGACTTGCACACCGCTGCTTCTGTGGGTCACGTGAATGTCATGCGGGACCTCCTGAAGGCGGGAGCTCCAAAGGACACGATTAACGAAATGGGTAAGTTGCCTAACATATTTCACGAAGACATCAAAGCTAGGATACAGTTCAAGGGTTTATGATCCTGGATAAAACGAGTGAAAGATCTACAGTCCCAATGCATGTTAGTAATCCAGTCAGTAGGGGAAAAAATTCAGCTGTAGGTTTCCGATTTTCTTTCAGCAGAGTTCCGGATGACGGCTTAGCCATCACTCACTTATATGTAGCTGTTAAAGAACCATTATTTGCTCCAAAACAATAGCTAGTTTGTATTTACAATTGCGCATGTGTGTGTCCAGGCTCCAGCAATTATATATTATATACAAACAGTCTCTCTTTTTGGTAACTAGCCATTTCTTTTGGACAATGTGAAATATAGTTTCGGGAGAGAGAGCTTTTCCTCAGGGTACCGCTATACTTACCAAAGATATTGATAAGGATAAACCGAAATTGGAGTTTATGATCGTTACCCTTCAGTCTCCTCCCCGCTCACTAAGTAAGGATAAGTCCGATATGCGAAGCTGAGCCTCGCCCGGGCTATGAGGGAAGCTCGGCCTGCGTCGACTAATGCCGACTCGCTGACGTGTGTCAGTTCTTGCTGACTCGGCTTAATCCTTGCCCGCCGTGGTGCCCAGCCACAGCAGTAACCTCCAGGCGACAATTGCAACTTCTCGCGCCTGGGCGGGGCGCGAACCGCCGACTCCTCCCTCGGATGAAAGGCCGACACGTTACCACTGTACTAGCCCGGAGGCTCCGCTCACTAAATATGCATTATATACTTATACTTATAAAGTAAGCTACACATGTGGCTTGTTTAATCTTCCCTAAGATGTCTATTTTCAACTCCCTCCTGATAAGAGCACTGATGGGCATTACCTTCCTTGTCAGGTCTTCAGGCCGTGCACTGTGCGGCGAAGGGCGGCCACATCGAGGCGCTGAAGCTCCTGAAGGAGAGTGAATGCGATTTAACGACCAGGACACCCCAAGGCGCCACGACCCTCCACTGCGCGGCCGAGGGCGGGCACGTGGCGGCGGTGCAGTGGCTCCTCGAACACAGCGGCCTCAGTCTCGATTCCCTCAACAGCGACGGAGACACTGCCCTCGATGTGGCTCGAAAAAACGGCCATCATAACACCACCGGCCATTTGCAGGAGGTGAGTCGCTACACAAGCGTGGGTGTAGTTGCCGTGAGAAATAAAAAAATGAAGACATTGTATATAGAACACACGCGCATATCTGAGTTGATTAATATATACACATAAATACATGCATGCACATACACATAAACATATATATTTTATATGTATATGTGTGTGTGCGTGTCCGTGTGCGTGTGGGTGTACACGCACACACACACACACAGATATATGTATGTATATATATATATATATATATATATATATATATATATATATATATATATATATGTATATATATATATATATATATATATATATATATATATGTTTATATATAATTATATGTGTGTATATATAGATGTGTGTATATATGTATATATACATATATATATATATATATATATATATATATATATATATGTATGTATGTATGTATGTATACATATCATATATATATATGTGTGTGTGTGGGTACATACATACACATGTTTGCATTTATACCATATAACTATATTCATGTATTACCTAAATCACATATAATAACTAACGTTTATTGATTCATCCTGATCCTTTTTAGGCCAAACACCAAAGAGACCTAAAGAAACTGCAGGATGAGAAAGAACATGAGATTACAAGACTGGCAGCAGAACTGAAGATGAACGAACTGGAAAAGGTATTACAACACACGCATTATAAATATGCATGCACTTTGTCCCGAGTGGAGGTCCTTCCCTTTAATCTTGGACCACTGGATTGGTGCAGGATTCGAATACGCTCGAGTGCGTATGTACACACACACACACAAATATATCTATATATATA